CCCTTCAGATACTGGAAAGCTGAATAAAGGTGCTTTCTCTGAAAGCTGAGGAGCTGGAGCTGCAATCACGTGTGAGGCACAGTAAGGGAAAAGCATGTTTAGAGCGAGGCACCGCTGAGAAGTGCAGCCTCCCCACAACCCCCCAGCATGCAGGATAGTGCATTGTAGCTGCTCCCGCTAGCCAGGGGAACAAGGTCGGATGCCTCTACTCCCTGTAGTCAACAGAAGGCTGTCAGGGGACACTTCAGAGGCCTGCACTTGCCAACGCAGATGATTTGAATGCCAGCCTGCCCGCTCACCCCCCAGCGCCCTGTCCTGCTCTGCTGGCAGGCTCAGCCTCGCCTTCTGCTCTTAGATCAGGGATCTCCCAGAGCTAATCTCATCACTGCTAATTACTGCAAACGAGACCAGAAGAGCTCTGGCACTTGCCCTTCTGCATTATACACATGCTAACGGCAGCCCCTGCCCACAGGGAACGGTGGTGCGTGTCTTCTGCATTTCACAGCACATTTCATTGGCTCCACGTGACCTTAACTGCAGCTGCATATCAGAGAGGAGAAGCCTCTGCGAGCAAAGCACACGGGTGAACGAAGGAACCCTTTCTGCTTTATTAATGTGCCGTGTCTGTCTCAGGATGCTGCCAGAGCCAGCCTCAAAGGGGACTGTGGAAGACAGACATTCAGTCTGAATTTGCTTTCAGCCATAAAAACGTGTATATTCCGGTGGCTATCCAAGCTAAAGTGAAAGCCATCAGGGAAGGGAAAGGGGGCATGTTTGGAGCAAATAAATAGATCCCTGGTATGAAAACTGGCAACTGGTGGGGAAGGAAGCAATCCTCTTTTCTCATCCCTTGCTGCAAGAGCTGAGCCTCAGGAGAGCAAGGGAACAAGCAATTTCTGAGCCAGAAGCCAGGTGAGGTGTGGTGTAGCCAGCACTGTAAACCACTGCAAACCTGCAGACAGGGAAAGGTTCATTTGAGCCCCAGCAGGAGCGAAACAAACAGCCAAGGTGGGAAGGCACATGGGAACCTTCCCCTGCTCAAGCCTGACAAGATTGTCAGCACATGCTGCAACTCAGCCTGCCGTCACAGTTCCTGGAGCCGCAAACTTCCAGGCTGAGATCTCAGCCTCATCCCTAACTACAACAGCCCGAGAGCCCATCCGTCCCCTGACGCTGCCAGAGGAAGAGCTCTGGAGGGTAGAGCTGCACACATCTCGCAGCAGAGAGGGATCCCTCTCCAAGGCAGGGCTCCCCTTGGAGGAGAAGCAAGCACCCACAAATGTACGCTCCTCGTGTGTACGGCAACCCAGGGACAGCGGCAGGGAGCGTCTCTGGACACGCTGTCCTGCAAGCGCTGTGGCTGTGCCCTCTGAGAGTTACGCCTGGCTGGTGTCAGTGCAGTCACAGGGGTGGAGAAGAAGGGTGGATAACACCAGATCAGGAACCAGCTGGAAATCTCCTCCAAAGCAGGGCTTGAAAGGAGGAGGGCAGAGGTTTCTTCTGCTAGGCATGTGCTTCTGCACAGGCACGTTGAAGGGCAGGTGATGTGCCAGCCCTAACGAGGTCCCCCTCAAGGGAAGGCAGCTCCTCATGAGCTGGAGCACCTCTGCTATGATGAAAGGCTGCGAGAACTGGGCTTGTTCAGCCTGGAGAAGAGGAGGCTCCGAGGAGACCTCATTGCAGCTTTCCAGTATCTGAAGGGCCTACAAGGGTACTGGGAGAGGACTTTTTACAAGAGCCTGTAGTGATAGGACAAGGGGTAATGGGTATAAATTGAAATCAGGGAGGTTTAGGTTAGGTATCAGGAAGAAATTCTTCACAGAGAGGGTGGTGAGGCACTGGGACAGGTTGCCCAGAGAAGCTGTGTATGCCCCATCCCTGGCTGTCTTCAAGGCCAGGCTGGATGTAGCTTTGAGCAACCTGGTCTAGTGGAAGGTGTCCCTGCCCATGGCAGGGGTGTTGGAACTAGATGATCTTTAAGGTCCCTTCCAACCCTAACCATTCTATGATTCTATGATTCTGTGAGCTTCCTCTACAGCAGATCTGCCTCCTGATCCCATGCCACAGGATAAACTGGTGTTCCCAGTTGCCTCTGACACTGGGGAACGCACACTTTGCAGCACAGCAAGCAGAGAAAACTTCAGGACAGCTGCAGTGGGAGCACCATACAGACAAGGCTGATGCAGAGCTCAGGAGAGGACGTATACAGCATCTCCTCAGCTCAGTGCACGGCATCTTTGACACCCCACATGCTAATCTGCTGTGTTCAGCTACTTGGGGGCCCCCCAGCAGTGTCTTACCTCCTCAAAGAGCTCCAGGCTGTAGGTGTTATCATCATCAGCAAAGTAAACAATCCCAGGCTGGCTGTTATTCTTGTTAAAGGTCTCTCTCAGCCACCTCAGGGCAAGGTTCCTCTGCATGGTCCCCCGGGGGATGCGGGGATCCCTCATGTCTCCCCGCAGCTTGTAGTTGCGGGGCGTCTCCACGTTGAGGTGGGTGTAGTTGAGCCCCGTGTCCCGCAGGAGCCGGGTGATGAGAGGGGTGCGTCGCTGAGAGTCCTCCACCAGGATCCAGTGCAGGTTGGGCACGTGCAGGAGGGTGTTGGCCAGGCGCGTCAGCTCTGCCTTCTGCACGGGCCGGCTGTAGGTGGGTGTAATGACGTGGATGGTGGGAAGGGTGTCTGACCATGGGGGTGGGCGGGTATAAACATATTCTGTCCTCACCACCTCCACAATGTCCCGGTCCGACAAGCAGTATTCCTTGGAGTCCAAGCCTGCAGCGAGATCACGCCGGGAGTCACCACCATCATCTGAGCAAGGGCATGAGAGAGAAGAAAAAGCCGCATGGACTCAGTCGTCTAACACCCCCCACCCGCCCCCGACTGAGCCAGCAGGCTGCTTGCTAATAGCAGGTCACCCTCGTGGTTTCAGAGGAAAGGAAACAAGCTCGGATGGAGACTTTAATAAATACGTACACAAATAAATAAAGGAATCAGGGACAAAGACAGATGAGAAAAGAGTTCCTGCTGTCAGAAAACCAGCACCAAACAAGGCCCGAGAGCCCCAGACAGTGCTGCAGCTGAGTCCTCAGAAGAAGCAGCTTCAAAAGGCACCCCAAAGATACAGGCTTGTACAGCAATTAGAGCTAGATAAAGTAAATAACAATATGGACTGACGATCCGTCATTCCTGAAGATCTCCAGTGCTCTGGGCACCACACTCAGTGGGACAGGACTCGTGGCTCTGCACTCAGGCACTGGAGCACCTGGACAGGGAGGTAGGGAACTAACTGGTGGAAAATACTGTGTCAGTGAAGATCCCCCGGCAGCATTGTCTGATATCGCCAGGATACTGCAGTACCCCACTGCTCTCCTGACAGGCCTGGGAGGGGGCACGGGGAAGCGGGGAAACATGGATTTCAAATCCAGGAAAGGCGAGTAGAAATTAAAGCCTGTAGTTGTAGGCTTTTTCCTGCAGAGACTTTCCCCTGCCTCTGACTAACCTCTCCTCAGAAAGGCCCTACCCATGAATGTAACAGCCCATTCAGTACTGCTGATGTGAGCAATGAAGAGCGTATATGTAGGATACACCGATCCAAACATATAAAATCCTTGCAAGTGAGACTTGTTCACAATCAGCTCAAAGAAAAGAAATTGTTTGTGCACCTGCCACTTTTCCAGGGCACGACTTCCATACTCGGTCTGAGAGTAGACCAGGAGGAATACCACAGTCTACAGTCAGGAAGTGGCAGAGATGAAGGCACACCTCCATTGAGGATAGAAGCCAGCTGCTCTCTGGTCGACACATAATACTTTGAGTCACAGATTTTGCAAAACTGGGTACCGCCAGGAACTTGAGATGAGTAAGAACAGGAGCAGACAGGCATTAGATGTGACCCAGCAGGGTACTACCAATGTTTTTTCCATAGCATGTTACTCTTCCAGCAGCACAGACTCTGATACCAGCCCTGAACCGAATGAAGGCCTCATACTCCACGGCACTGACGGAGGGAGGGTGGGTATCCGTGGGGAGGACATGGACAAGGTGTCCTGCACATGTTGGTATCAGGCCCTACACAAGGCAAAGAACATCAGCATCACATAGCAGAGCTCTCTGGAAGCAGAGAACCCTGGAATCAATTCAAAAATAAATTTGCAAAACGCATTGGACACAGACACAAATGTAATTAGCCAGGCCGGTGCTTGAGACAGTTTGCAAACCCCGGCAGGTCAAGCCTCAGCTGTAAATCCTGGCACGTGTAAGGTTCGGCGTTCACTAGTGTGTAGGTACACATCTCTCAGCACCTGCTACCAAAGGCTATCAGAAAGGCAGGAACAAAATACAGGAGCAAAACGCATTCTCCCAAGGGCTTTCAGGTTGGTCCCTATCACCACTCGTTTTCTGTGGATGCTCAGAGAAGCAGGGATTGAGGACATATCTTACCAAGGTCATCGGTAAGCTCAGGGCTGAGTCTGAGTCTCTGTGCTGTGACTTCAGTGTCCATGGCCACTCACCAAAAATAGCTCCTAGTTTTGAGGGCATTGGATCAAACTGGTATACAGACAGCCTATTCCTAGTAGTCTTTCAAGTCTTGTTTTAAAGTCCAGTAGTTCCCTCATCCTCTGAAACACTGTCCCCCTTCCAGAGGGGATCACAGTCATTATTCCCTTAAGAAGTGGCCAAAGCCTCATGGGTGGCTGTCAGTCCTCCAGGGAGAAAGGTCTGCTTGGGACAGACTCTGAACTTCTGACAATCCAAACTGCACATTCAGACCGTGCAGCAAAAGGCTAAGCATCTGTGAAGGACGGGTGCGAACATTAAAATGAAGAGGAGAGAATCTCCGAGAGAAAAGGACCAGAGAGGGAAAACGAGCTGGCCACACTCCCCGTGGACAAGCCACCCCGAGCTGACCCACCTGTCCTGGTGCTCAGCAGAAGGGCAACACCAAGAATGAAGACGGCAGCAGGCAGCTCGGCTTCTTCCAGCCCCCCAGAGCTCTCACAGCCCCTTGGACATTGCTGCTGTGCCAAGAACAGGATAGAACTAGGACCCTTCCAGCCAGAGAGGATTCCCCAGAACTTCCTGCATGCATCGGATTTAGGCCAGAGCTCTACTTAATGCTTTGTGGGACACTGTGGAAGCTGACTCTCTCACAGCACTGTAATTCCACCAAACTATCAGGTGAGATGCTGCCTCTTGCCTTCTCCTTCAAGTGCAAAAGCACCAGTTTGCTGCTTTCCTGAGGACACTTCAAAATGCTCTTTGCCTCGTGCTTCCCAGAGCAGCTGTCTGAGGCAGCAGCTTTGTTTCCTCTACTCTCTTTTCTGCAGCTTTCCTGCTGGACTAGCTTGCGTGCAGGATGCTGCAAAGGCCAGCAGGAAGGGACTCCTCTCACATGGATCATCAGGGAACAAAGAAAAGCATCTTCCTTCAGTACTCTGACTCTGGATTTAGGCCACGAAGAGCTCTGAGTGCAGTAAGCCTATCACACGGCTTGCGGTGTGATGTCTCTGCAGAACCCCTGCGAGCACTGGGCAGAAGTGGGGAGGCTTCTGCATGAGCATGGACTGGGAGCTGAGATGAGCATGGCTGCCGGGGAGAAATGAAATGAGGGAGGAGATGAGGACGAGGGAGGGATGCACGGACTCGGCATGGGCTAGTTTGATTTCTCTCACCCTTGTGCACTGCAAGCAGTGGAGCAATGGTGCTCTGGTGCCAGACGGTGATTAGTAGTGTCCAGGGCAGAACTATCAGCACGATAGCCAGGATGTCTCGTCTCTTCGGCATCTCCAAGACTGACTGGACCCACAGCTCCTCATTACCTGACAGTGAAAACCCCAGAGACAGAACAGCAGAGCACATGGAGAACAGAAATAAATGGGCAAGAAGGAACAAGGACAGAGAGAGAGAACGCGAGAGAGGGAGAGAGCAGCGAAGGCGACACGACTAGTAGGTCTTACCAGTGCTTACAACCCACCCATTGCAGAAGCAGGTTTGGAGGGGCCTCGGCTGCTGGGACCAGGAGCAGGAGGGCACTTCTACAAGACACTGCTGGAACTGCCAGCAGGATCCTCAGAGGCTCGTTTGGAAGGAAACCTGCAACACAGAGCAAAGGTGAGTAGGCAGAGAAGTACTAGGGAGCTGCTCCATAGGGTTCACAAATCCTCCTCGAGAAGAGCAAATCAAACTGAGGCAGTGACCAGCAGAAACATGTCCCACCCCTCCTGGGTGCCAGAGCCTTGCTTTCCTTTGCATCCAGTCCCTGCTTCAGCCAAGCAAAAGCTGCTCGGTGGGGCAGTGCCTGAGCCATCCCCCGGCGGAAAAGGACCTTCATCCACCAGCCAGCCAAGCCTCACGCCACCACGCGCAAGGCCCCAGCCCCTGGGAGGAAGCAGAGACCACAATGACCACAGCACCTGCCTGACACATCAGCAGATGCTCTGACCCACCGGACCCTCTCCCTCTGCCATGCAGCGCGACTGCGCCCGCGCTCTTGGGAATACAGCTCCAGGGAAGGCAGTGACCCTGCGTTTTGCCCATCGCCGCAATCCCCTCAGCTCAGACCGTCCCGCTGGCATCTCTGACGCAGCCAGTTTTAACTCAGGCTTCCAACGGCCCGTTCAGGTTCATTTCTTCCATCTCGGAGGTGTTGCGGCTGGAGTATATTAAACTGCCACAATGGCTTAGTTTGATTCAATACGAGCGCATACAAGATTTAAGCAGACTGTATTTTATCCGACTATCTTGGCAAGCAAAGTACATCACTTAGCAGGGACACGCAGGGTGGCCAGTTTGCAAACACGGGTAGCAGTTTAGTGTCACTGTTCCCATGTGGGAAAGAGCATTAGCCCGATGCTAAAAGGGCTGCATTGCAGACACGGGAGAGCCCAGGGAATACTGCAGTTGAAGGCAGGGAGCAGCCTGCTCTGGGGAAAAGCACCGATTTCCCACTGCAGAGCCGCTGGCTGGTCAGTCACTGACTGCACTGCCCTGGAAGATATCAGATCGGGGGGAGCTCCTCAAGACAGGGCTGTAGATATGATGCTACTTTGCAAATGTCTTTCCTGAGACCCTTGGAGCTCACTTTTTCTCAGTTGTGTGGGGCAGTCATGGAGAGATCCAGGTTCAAGTCCCTGATTAGCTCAACTTGGATTGATCTGAATTTCCCTTGGCCATGCCTTGACCACTGGGCTGTACAGTCAGCCTCTGGCACTGCGCCCAGTGGAAGACTGGAAGTGAAATGGCTCCAAGAACAGATGGGTTGTCCCTTTAAAGTGCAAGCAAGCGATATTCAAGTTTCTGGACAGAACCTGGTTCTTCCAAATCAGCACTTCAGTCGGGGAGGTGTTAATTTACCAGGGAAAACCAGACCCAGGCTGGCCCTCGTCCTTATACAAACATGTAAATGTCCCTCAACATAAGTTTCAGCGAATCCGTATTTTTCGCACTCATACAAAAACCCAACCCTTTAAAAAATTTCCAGCCAACTCCAGCAAACAGGCAGTTCCCCACCCAGAGGTCTCTCACCAGACCTCCCACCTCCCATACCAAATCTGTGCCAGATCCCAGTGCCAGCATCTACAGAGGTGGGGACCCATCCTCCTCATGTGCACCCACCCTCCTCCAGCTCCACGGACACAGGCAAAGCCTCACTCGGGAGACCCCGGTCAGAGGATGCAAACAGCAGATGTGCCAGCGAACTGGAGTTAGGAAATGCAAGGACCCAGCGCTATGGAAGGAGGTTGTGATGGATCTGGGCAAGCTGCAGCTAGTGAGGATGATGAGGGAACTAATCTTCTGGAAGCGTCTCCAGAGGAAACAACAAACCCCTAAACCACCCACCAAACAAAGCAGGTTCTATGAAAAATAGGGTTTCTTGCAGCCAAGCATGGGAAACCAGCAGGAAAAAGCTTTTCACAGCCCAAGGATATGCCGCTGGACACCCTGCAGACTTTCAAGGCAGCATCTCCCAGCAACGTAGATTTCTAATTTTTTTCTGGAGAAAGCAGCCTCATCCAGACAAAATAAACTGGGGAGGAAGAGGAGGGATTGTTCCAGCAATCCTCAGCCTTCTGCTGCATTCCTGTCCAGCTCTCAAAGCCAGAGAAATCCCACTGGCCTAGCACTGCCAAAGCACACAGTGCCCTCAGGAAAGAGCATCTGGCCTCATCCCTGCTGTCCCTGCAGTTGCTGTCAGTGCCTGAACAGAGGGCACGGAGCGCTGGCATCCTCTGAATCCTCTAATAAATCCAGAACATATCCCTTGAGCATCGCTGTAGGGCAGAGCGGTAAGGGGCAGCTCTGAAAAGACTGAACACCCTGCCTGGTAAAATGCCTTCGCTGCAAAGGCACCAAGGGAAGGATTCTGCCACTGGAGAGGAGGTGGGAGGAAATGGCACACGAAAGGAGCCACTCAGAGTCAATCCACAGCATCTGGCAGGCTGCCACAGTGGGCTGGCATGCATCGAATGCCCCGTTTGTCAAGGGCAGCTTCCTCCGAAGACAGTGCTCTTACCTTTAAGATGCCTTTTCCTTGCTCTCTGCTAATGCAGACCCAAATTGTCAGCATCCTCCCATAGGACAGCCCGACCCTGGGCTTCGTATGATGGAGAACGGGCACCTCTGGGCTGGCGTGCTACTCTGATTTCCAACCCTTCAACGCAGGGGAAAATGAGCCGGCTCCAACGATCTGTGCATCGGTCTCTTCAGGATCGATTCCTTTTAATTTGCTACAGAGCATTTAGCAGCTCCCCGGTCAATCATCTGTCACTTTGGTGCTCCAGCTGCCAAGGGCCAACACAGCCCACTTGTGCCCCAGCAGAGAGCTGTCGGCTTGGTGGGATGGCACCAGAGAGCTCTCAGGGATGGCTCCATGGGAACGTTTTCTCTCCCTGCCCTCCTGGGACTGGCCGAATGCTCAGCTCCCTCTGCCCCACCGGCAACTGTGGGTTGCAGATGTGCATCGCATACCCCACACGCAGCGGCTGTCACGAACGTTCCCTTCCCTACAGACAGCACCCCAAGGGACACAACCCCAGCAGGGATCTGAATCGCAGAGGGCGATGGTTGGTGGGGAGAGAACGTGGAGCCGCAGACCCCCCACTGCTGACCTAAGCTTCGGCCGACACCCACGGTGTGCCACGTGCTCCGCTCTGCAGCAAAGGCGTTCGCTCGCTGTTCATTTCCGAAGCGATTTGATTCTATTGACGACCCTGAGCAGCCTGACTGAAGGACATGGAAAGAATTCCCTTGGGGCTGCTGTGAGCCCTGTGAAATCTGGATCCAGATGAAGTATTTCAAGCGTGTTCCCTCCCAACACGCTAACGCCGTTGAGGGCCTCGGTGCCGGCAGTTCTCGGTGTAACAAAGCCACGCTCCCCCCTCACCGTCACATGTTAAAGCTGCAAATGGTGAAATCTGTTTTCTCCTGTGAACATCATCACCTAGGAAATACACGGTCGCCTGCGATTTTACACTGCTGGGGAGAGAAGTCACAGCTTCACAGCCCCAGACAGAGAGCCTGCCCTGTGTCCGAAAACCCCCTTGCTACCTAACCAAACGATGCTTTTTGTTGCTGCTCATGGCACAAGTGAGGCTAGCCAAAAACCAGGCTGAGGAAAATTACCCTCTTCTTTAAGGCATTCGCTCTAGCCCTGCCCCATCACACCCTTCCCATTGAAAACGTTCCAAACAAAACCCGGCTTTGTTCAGATTCTCAATTTTAGGCTCCTGCTGTCTCCTCCTCCTCAGGGAAAAGGAGGAGAAACAAATTCAAATATGAAATACTAGAAACTCTATTTTCCACTATATACCATCCTTTTTCAGTTTTGAAAAATCAGGCAAAAAGACACAAATCCCCAGCTCAAACGTAAGCTATACTGGGGTTAAAATACCTCTAAAACAAAGGTGTTTTGCACAGTTTGGAAAGGCTTTCCTTGGCAGAAATATATTTTGACAATCTGCAAGCCGAAGGGCGATGCCACATGGCGAAAGAGCTTTCCCAGCTTCCGGCAGAGGGCAATGGTGTCAAGGCATGACAATATTAAAAGGGCACGCATCTAATAAAAGAGCTTTAATAAATCCTGGAGCCCTGTGTTAGTAACGTGCCGGATTATTAAACGCTGAAGGTCCTTTTTTTTTAAATCAAGTTAATTGGCGTCAGCTCTGACACTTACCGGAGGAAACACTGATTTGATCTGCAATCTGGTTTATAGTCAGTTTTACGTTCTTTCTTCCTTTGGGGCTGATCAGCCCCAGCGTCATTACTCCCTGGTTTTCCCACACTCAACAGAAGTGATTTAGAATGCGTTAAACTAAAGAATTGCTTGAGTTCAATTTGTATATATATTCATGTCACTGGAGTAAAAATATTGTCTAGGCATAAGGAAAACACACACACAAAAACCCAAACAAACATACCAAGGGCTTACTTGTATTACAGAACAGCCAGGAAATAACAAACACACACAGCCAAATCCTACAACAAAAGCTTTACAAAGAAAATAAACACTCCTACTGTAGGATACAAAGTGTATTCTCACTAACTAACAGCTTCTCCCCCTGGGCAAAGTATCCCCTAAAGGCAAACACAGGTTTCTTTCACCTTTGCAACAGCAACTGGTTCTGATCCCTGCTGAAAAATCGACAACCCCTGCAACCCAACAACCCTTCTGAATTTACATCCCAGTCACCTCGCAGAGAAAGGCTGTCCCATCCGTTGTTCAGCTGAGGAAACTGAGGCAGGGACCATCGCGGCTCTCCCCTGCAGCCCAGCAGGCACCCGGGACCAGGGCTCCGGGGGCTCCAGCCACAGCCCCACTCTGGAAGGCAGCACAGGGCACGACGAGCCTCTCGCTCAGGTTTTGGTCGCAGCCCAGCAGGCACCCGGGACAAGGGCTCCGGGGACTCCAGCCACAGCCCCGCTCCGGACGGCAGCACAGGGCATGACGAGCCTCTCGCTCAGGTTTTGGTGTTTGGCAGAGAAGGATTGTAAAGCACAGGCTAAAAATAAAGGTGGCAATAAAAGCCTCGTGCTCGTTAATTACTCCGTAAGCCATTACTGCCTAAAAACCCCATAACTTTAATGGGGGCTATTAT